AACTTAAAAACCTCTATAACTTCAAAAAATAATATGATCCCTTCCCATCAGAGCCCAAAACCTCTACAACCCTTGACCCTTGATAACTTAAAACCTCTATAACTTAACTTTTTTTGTGTTAACTTGGACTTTAACTTATCTAGGTTCTACTGTAATCAACTTTATTTGACCACACCTAAACCAATATCGTATTACAAATGTTTAAAAATAACCGTAAAGCAATTTGCTTGGAGATGATCAATTTATGGTTTCGAGAGCTTATTTAAATGTTACATTCATGGCGATAAATCTACTCGCTCTGCTATTAGCGTCGTAGCTAGAAAAAAAAAGTACGCAAGTGGGAATGTTATTTAACTTAGGGTTCGGTATAAAAATTATTAAATTTTCGAACAAAAATATGTTTTAGAGGTTGAAAGTATTTATTAACGACTGCAGTAAAATATTATATAAATCGAAAAGAATACATTTCTCTATACAAATATACAATTAACAGTTGGTTTCATCGTCTTGATTCTTAAAAAGTTTATAATAAACTTACTTTCGCCCGCGACTCCGTCCGCGTGGAATAAAAAAAACAAAAGTCAGTAGCCTTTGTGTTCTTCCAGACTATCCTCTACATCTATACCAAATTTCATCGAAATCCCTTCAGCCGTTTAGGCTACAAACTCAAACAAAGATCCATCGACTAAACTTTCGCATTTATAATATTAAGCATGACGATAAATACACCAATTAAACGAATAGAATAAATAAGGTAATGACAAAAAGTTAGATACATTTAGATATTAAATAAAAATTAGGAATATTAATTTAAAAATGTGCAGAACCCTAAACGTTTGATAAGGTGCAGTTCAGTAATGTAACATTGAAAATGTATCAGAACTCCTAGAACTGTAGCAGACGTTAAAATTATTGCCCTTTCATCGATAACGGTGTATTAATAATTTTAATGCCAATTCTAGGGTCAATGGTACGGACATGAAACGGTTGCACTTGTTAATAATTGATCTAAGATTATTTAATTATAATACACTAGCTGTTGCTCGCAACTTCTCCCGCGTGAAATTAAAAATAAATAAATAACATAGCCTGTTACTCCCTGATAACGTAGCTTTTTATTGATGAAAGAATTTTTTGAGTTATTTCAATACATACAAAAATACAAATATTTCCTCTTTATAATACTAGTGGGGAAGTATAGATGATCAAACATAGTATGCTATTTATTAATAGCTGATTTTTGGCTACCTTTTGTTATTTCAGACGTTAAATTCGAGTTATGCTAAGCTTTTGTTGTGTAGAATCTTGTGAGAAGAGAAATTTTTGGTATAATAATTAACGTTACTATCTATGGCATGTATAGGATAAGAAGTATAACATAAGGTCCTCAGATTCTGTACCTCGACTATTAAATTATATTATTTTAACTTAAATGTTGGAAAGTTAATTTTTTAACAATTTTATACTTATAGTTACATTAATGGATGCATCTTCCGTATGTATTCAAATACGTGTGGCTTAATAAACGTTTATTTTACTGGTATAGTATATGACACATTCGTTCTAGCGCAGGAAACGAAATCCGGTACCGGCTGACTGAGCAATGCTGCGAAATTGCTAGATCCTGAAATTGGGTCACACCTGAACTGCGGCACGGCCGCTCTAGATTCCCGTTGACCTATAATGCACTAGAATAAAGTTCCATTTGTTGAAAAATAGTCTTATTTGTCGTCTACACGAATATAGACTCCAATTATAAGACTTTAGAGTAAAAGATTATCCCTGGAAAATTAAAAGAAGTATGTGATTAAAGTCTTTTTTCCACAAAACCGATTTGTTTGAAGCATTTCGTGAAAACAATAATATTAAATCTAACCTTTTTACATGTTAGCTGCGTTTTTACGCACGGATTCAATATATTCTAAATCAAACACGTCAAACGATAATAAGGTATTAGGTTGCGATGTTTTTCCGCAGACTGCTTTATCTCTTACTATAGCAGAGATAAAGTATTGTTTAGACCTTATTAACTGACGCATTCAGAATCCTTTAATGCTATCTTTAGCATCCTCTTAGGGGAGATTTTCTTTCTTTCTTAAGGACTATACGACTGAGAGGCAGTAATTATTCTTATCACCTAAGTTCTGTTAAATCTTATTATTACAAAGCATTGTTAGGAATACAGCAGAGAGATATTTTTATTTTTAAAGCTCTTGTGAGCGGACTTAAGTTGCGGTGTAAACAATAAAAATGGACCCGAGTGCCCTCGGAGCTATTATTCTGTCATCGCCTTGCTCGCTCCTTACCCGGGCATGGCTTAGCTAATTGGGTCGCATTGTTGATGTAACCCAATTATTTTATTCATGGGAATCGCCTGCGGAAAATAGTCAAGTCAACTAAACTAAACTAGATAAATATAAACATGACTGAATTTCTAGAAAAATAAATGGATTATGATTAAAAAATTGTCGAAAAATTAAGATTCTTTAGTATACTCAGTAAACAAAAACAATAAAAAATATGCGTCATTTTCATATTTAAAATAGTTGCCATGTCTCTACTAGTAAGGAGGTTTAATGACTTTTGCAGTCTGTGTTCGTTGATTCCATAGACAAACTAATATGCAATCCAGCAACTGCTGAATTAATATCCAGCGCTGTGCTGTTCATGTAATCAAGTGTCGGGAAGTAGGTCGTGAACGCTCAAGTGCTGCATGGGAGCGCTTCACGCTTGATACGTATTGAAAGCCAATTGGTAGGTAATGGCTTTGGAGACTCGATTTGAAGATCGAAATCGTGTAAGGATTTTTCTTTTTGTTATTTTTAAGGAAATTACAGTGGATAGAGTGGTTAGCTAGACCGAGCCTACGTACAATGATTAAATACAAACATTTTAAAAAACGGGTGATATTATTAGAAACTACAACAAATTGATTATTGTCATTTACTTGTAGATTCATGACGACGAACATTGAATTTGTAATTTTGCCGTATTATAATACTAAGTACTAAATATTGAAATTAAAATGTTACACATATAGCAATGTTAAATAAGGTAAGCAATAAAGTGGGTTGCAGGGTACTCGAGGCGCGGAAGTGGCGGCTGCAGCACCCGACACCCAGCGCCCAACGCAGGGTTACTGAACTGACAAGTCGCTGATGGATAATTACATCAACACTGAGTCAAATTTAATTCTGATTTTTTTAAAATAAGCAACACTATAACCTAAACTTCATATAACCTGCGATATCATTAATTCGTCATTGAAAATTAAAAAAAACGTGCGTTATTGAAAAATAAACTTAAATCCTACCTAATCCATAAAAATTGCTTTATGTTTACATTTTCATTTAAAATATGTCTAAAAAAATTTACATTTTGATTTTGTAAAAACTTTTACCAATAAAATATTTGTGTTTGTAACGGTATTTGTATTTGATTTTATTTAGTAAGGTTTCATAGTAAAAAAAAAACTGAGACCAGAACATAGACTACGAAAATGTAAAGAATGGACTTGAAACCGTGGTAATTGAATATACTTCTTCACCTTTTCTTTGATGCAGGATCTGAGTTTCATTATTAAATACAGTGATTCAAGGTAAGGTCGGAATCAGTAGAACGGAAATGATTCCTACGCGGCGCTATCGGCGAGCCCTGCACTCGGTGCCAAGCCGCGCCCGTGCACTCGTAGCGCCCTTGCATGCACCATTACAGTGTAGGGTTGTCGCGGTTTTGTATATTTGTATCATAAATAAGCAATTGGATATACATCCTCGCTGTAATTGTACAAAACTATCTCAAATTTGAATGTTTGCTTGAGTTCCAAAGTTTATGAAATTGCTTGTGTGTATAAAATGTTTTAAACAGCAATGTTATATTCTAAATTCTAGAATTCTAAATAAAGAAAAAAGCAAATATAAATAAATATTGAAATACACGAAATCAAGTTCTCAGTAATAATCTAATCATTTATTCTTGTATATGTTAGTGTAAATTTAATTACAATGTTAAAACAAGATTAACATTTTTATTAGTAAAAATCTCAGTTGGCAGCCCTATCAATGGGCACAGTGCAACACAAGTCGACACGCATACATTTCCGCAGGCGACTCCAGCCGGAATGACAATCAGGCCATTGTCTATTGTAAACGAAGACCGCTCCACGGTATCCTTTGAGCTAAGGTCTGGTATACACGGATAGCTTCAAGCAATAGGAGTGCTTGAAGCTACCGATATCGACTGTTGAACCCTTGTATGCCTGGCTGCCGTTAGTGGCTGATCATAGATTCGATGTTACTTAGCTGACACATTAACGAACCCGGTGTACAATAACTATTTATTGAATATTTTCTGTGTATATTATTCTATAATAATTATTTAAGACTAACTTTCGCACGCGACTCCATTAACTTGGGATTGAAAAAAAACAAAACTTAGTAGCCTATGTGTTCTTCCAGAATATGCTCTACATCTATGTCAAATTTCATCGAAAACCGTTCAGCCGTTTAGGCTACAAACTCTAACAAACATTCATCCATCCATCTATCTAAACTTTCTCATTTATATTAGTAAGAAGTAAGATAAGATTTTAATTAATTATTCATGATATTGTTCGAAGTTCATGTAATAATATTGAACATTTGTTTACGTGACACTTTTTTCCTTGTTATATTGTCTAAAACTTGTATGCGAGGGAATGTACAAAATTTATATCGTCTCTTGGATTACTGTTTTGTTTACTCAGTGCTTTGTTCCATCCAAGTTACCTTAATATAGTTTGCAAACTTTGCCAAAGCCGGCATAATTTATTACACGTAAGTTCATCAAGATCGATAACTTAGTTTCTTGTTTTATGCATTTCCTTGATTAAAATATTTCCTATACAACATTCCTGATTTGGATGAAAAGTGATATGGCATTTCCTTCCATTCATATGCCAATGAAGTGTTTTGGAAATCAGTTAATTTTTAATAGCATGAAAAAGTAATATAGACTTTTACCTTGCTTATATTATCCTTCTGATGTTAAAACTCGTTTCACGGTTGCCTCATGTTTGTAAAATCTGAAAATGAAAAAAAAAAGTTAGTTAACTTACAAGATACGTAGATGACAGAGCTTTACGTAAACGACTATGAAATAAGTATAATAAAAACACGATTTTAAAAATGGGTTTGTAACGAATTACAACAAAGAAAAAGTATGAAAAGCTTTATTTCAAAACTATGTAAATGGAAATTCCATTGAAAGTCAAAAGTGGCCCAATCCGGTGTAGGTAAGGGAGGTAAAAAGGGGGATTCAGTTCGGCGCATTGCTACCCCGGATCGTGGCTTAGTGCAGGAAATCCGACAGGGAACGCAAAACGGGAGTGGAAAAGAAAAACGTTTCTGTTATTTGGCTGATGTTAAAAACAATTGAAGCTTCAATTAAAACAAAAAGTATAGCCGGTTTTTGTTTTTTTTAATAAATTATTGTTATTTACTGATGGTTTAGTCCTTACATTATCCAGATTCACTTAATTTAGCTGTACATTGCGGAAACATGATAAAAACAAAATGTCATCATTATTTATTTTATGAAACAGAAATAGCAACTTATTTATGTAATGTTTCGACAGTGGAAACCCGTTGAAAAAATTGATATGTAGAAAACATAAACCGTAGATTTAAATCCGGTGATCCAAATGAGAGTAAATTGAGGTGGTATACGACGGAAATACTCCGACCATGCGCTTGCAGGTGATATCAAATATTGAATTTGACTCGGAGTTTGCTATGGAGACCATGTTTATTGTAAACATAGGACAGATGCTATAGGGTTAATTTTAGAATAGCACGGGTGGCCTTGAAGTTGTAATACTAGATAATGCCTTTTCATTCCCTTTGATAAAACAGAGATAGCTTTCATGTCCAAATGTGTTGAAATTCATATATCATTTCCTCGCTTTTTGATAGAATTTGATATTAACATATTGACATAATAACCCATATGTATGTTTTAAAAAGAACGTATACAAATTATTTTAGAAGAAACTTACTGGTTACATAAGTTTGTGGTTACCCTATCCGTGCTTGAGATGTCTAAGTTCGAATGCAATTTCCTGCGGTGTTGATTTTTACGTAACACAGGAAATGGGATATTTTATTGGTAAAGACTTATCGATCACGTCATATATAAATACGGTAGAGTAGAAAGGAAAATCTTCATACACACCAGACGAAAGTTTTTTAATACAAGACTTACGAGAGATTGAAGGCGTTCAAGTTATAATTAACGTGAAATTCTGCTGCTTGGTTAAAACATAACATTTTCATTATTTTCAAGGACAAAGGGGGTGACAATAAGTTTTATGAGATTAATTCGGATTTTTCTAAAAAAACAACAAAACAATAATCAGCCACAGAGAAAGTTTAACAAACATCCAACCGTCACAGGTAACCACACGAGAGAAACGAGCATATTATAAATTCATTACACAGTTGTTAAGCGAAAAAATTATAATTTTGTGGGCGACAGTTCCTCTGCGACGCGCGCACCGGAAAATGGCCGCGGCACCACGCATTCGACGCGGTTTATTTTTCGGACGAGGTTCCTGAACTCTGGTGTTTGTGTTATGAATATTAAAGATAAAAATGTAGTAATGTAGACGCTGTATTTAATAACGCGAAATTATTTCGGAATTGTATTATATTTTTTAGTAGTCACGCGACTAGTTTTTTGTTCTTTATTTCAAAACTTTTAAAAATATTTAATTACACATTCCCGCCAAAACACTTACGTTGTATAGCATGCACATTAAGATGAAATAATGAAAAATAGAAAATCGTAAGTTTACATATTGAAATTATCGGAAATTAATCAAATTGGTAAATTACTAAATTTTGGCACAACCCCAATTGGTCGTAGTACAATTCCAAACATCTAATATAATAAATTCGAAAGTTAAGATGGTTGGACAAATGGATGCTTGTTAGAGTTTGTAGCCTAAACTGCGGAACGGATCTCGACGAAATTTAGCAAAGATGTAGAAGATAGTCTGACCACCACGAACCTGAACACCACGCAGACGAAGTCGCGGGCGAAAGTTACTAAATCCATAAAATGTTAGTGACCACATCAATTGATCTTTGTTCATGTGACAGCTTTATGACAACATACTCTTGTACTTAATATCTACAATACATTGATATGCATAAAAGTTATCCGCAGATAAAATATATGCTATCCCTTTATTCTCTCTATAAAAAATGAAATAACAATTGTTTGTAAAGGTATAGTTGCGGACACAAATTAAGGGAGCAATTTGGTTTTAGAAACACAATCTAGTCTGTATTTAATTCTGTCTCAGTATTTTAGTTTTCGTATAAACACTTTAACGCGTAAGTACGTAAAAAGGGTGCCTCCCTCATGTCAAGGAAAATGCAACTTATTGCGCATTTCAGTAACGTAGGGGAGAAAATTAATTAGGTAATTAGAAGGGGTCCATGAGGACGTGAAGGTTTATTTTAAAGGATTTTTAACTTTGATGTTCAACATTTTAAAAAATGAAAATGTTTTTATTCGATGTTTCATTTTACAAAATTAAATTAAATTCTAGTAATAAGAATATAAAAACCTCCTATGGAGGTGTCTGGCCTTCTGTTTTACAATGACCTTGCAGAATATGATCGTAAGTTACCTCCCCAAACAACCTACATAATAAACTTGGAAGATGCAAATTTTATTTTACGTTTGAAAACATATTCTGTCCTCACTTTATGGGCGCGCTGCTCGTCTTTTATATATTTTATCCATGCGTTTTGTTAATGACAACTTTATAGTTTTACAACTAACATTCCGTCAACTTTCTACAATTTTAAAAGAAATAAGAAAGTAAAAATTCAAAATTTGTACCAAAAGGAAGTTTAATTTGACTCTTTTGCTGTTCAATAAACACTTTGCAAAATTCATTATTTACTTCTAGAATATGTCGTGTTATAAATAAGTTATCTAAGTAATATCTCTTAATTATTATTTAGATGTAATAAAAGTACGTTAACAATAAAAGACTTTATGACTTGTACTTCATATATAATTTGTAGAAAATTATTCCGACAACATGAAAATAGTAACAATAACGAAAAATAGAGTCCATATGAAGTGTAGCGTAAGTTATGATTACAAAAAGAAAAGCGACCGCAGACACGTCGTGTACAAGTTTCGCTTCAATCAAGCCTTTCTTTGTAGTCTTGTAAGGATCTGTAAAGCATCCTTTTCAGTTGTCAGGAATCGCAGTGCAGTTTTAATAAAGGCCATTCGTTATTTTATTTTGTACTAGCTATTGCTCGCGATTTCTTCCGGGTAAAATTAAATATATCCTATGTTACTTACAGATAAATTACCTTTCTAACGGTAAAGTAATTTATAAAATCAGCCCAGTAGTTTTTGAGTTATTGCAATACATAAAATACAAATCTTTCCTCTTTATAATATTAGGACAGATTAGTATAGATTCATGTAAAGCTAGAACACTACGTTATGTAAATTTTAACATCTTCATCATGAAAACAGGCGTGAAGTGGAAGCAACTCCGCGTTTCGTCTGATGAGTGTGGTGCCGGAGGCCTAATTTTAGTCCCTTTTCCTTTCCACCCTTTTCTTAAGAGGAAAGGATGGGAGGAAAAAATGGATTGGACGGTGAAGGAGATGCATAGAAAGGAGAAATGTCCTCTTTATGTGCGTCTCCTCCACCGTCAATTAGGGTAGGCAACGCATCTACAATAGCGGATGTTTATGGGCAGCAGTCGCTTTCCATTTCGGTGGATTCAGGTGGCCGCTTGCTCGTTTGCCACCTCAAATTATAAAAAAAAAAATCTTACTAACATCATTAATGCGAAGGTTTAGATGGATGTTTGTTAGAGTTTGTAGCCTAAACTGCTAAATGGACCTCGAAGGTATTGGGCATATATGTAAAGGATAGTCCGTAAGAATACATAGGCGACTTTTGATTTTTTTTAATTCCACGCGCATGGAGATGCGGGCTAAAATTAGTGATTTTATAAAAGTTTGCTTGTCCGGGATACGCATAGGTTTTTATTTGCTCTTTAAACGTTTCATAATTATATGGTGATAGAATTTTTGATATCAATCCTGTAGTTTTTGAGTTACAAACATAAATATAGAAATCTTTCTTCGTAGAGTTCGATACTTCATGGTAATACCATAATCAAACTTAGATCGTCATAGCACTGTGTCTATGTAGCTAAAAGACAGTGGCCTGCAGATCCACTTTCTCCGGTACCATTGGGAGTTGTCCAGCGGAAATTGCTCATTGCTGCAGAGTTTTTAATGACTACTTCCCCAAGCTTAATGAGTCAGCGCTCGTTCAGAATCGTGGGTATAAATACACTTTTACTCAACGTTATCGAATTACAGGGTTCAATAAATTAGTTGCTCTACTAAGTGATTTTTGATCAACATATCCTGCGTTTGCGTTCAAATTACAATCCGAAATCTGTTTACCATAGCAAATGCACATTTATAATTAAAATTTAAAAATGTTTGGGGTAAAACATTTTTGTCACTTAACATAATAACATTTCAAAATTAAAATTGTCACTAAATATATCTAAAAGCTAAATATGTTAATAGCCAATTATGGTATTGGAATTTCATCTGTTCATACTTCATTATTAAATTTGTTCATAGCGATAAAAGTTACATGGATAGACTAGCTTTCGCCTGCGATTCCATTCGCGTGGAATTAAAAAAAACTAAGTAGCTTATGTGTTCTTCCAGACGGTAATCTACATCTATGCCAAATTTCATCAAGATCGGTTCAGCCGTTTAGGCTACAAACTCTAACAAACATCCTTCCTAGATGGAAGGAGAACTTTCGTATTTATAATATTAGTAAGACTTAATCGTATTTTCTCCGGAAAGTTTTACAAGTACATTCACCCAAATGAAAAACTAAATAGAACTAAGCTCAATAGAAAAAAAAGATGTAAATGTTAACACAATTCTATGTAATTACGAGGTGAGTACTCTTACAGTGGGCAACATAATTACATCATATCTCGTCACT